GTGGAGATTGAGGTACACTTTGACAGGCAATTAGAAGCAGTGGACGGGGAGAACTAGCGTTAAAGGCACAGGCTACAAAAACAGCTACTCTGTGTTCAAAGCTAAAAATTCCAATGTTCTGACAGGTATAAATAATATAATGGAGGTTTTGAGCTGAAAATTAGTAAAATAGGTGCCCCTTAAGAAAACTGTGCTATGTGGCTAAATTAACATATTGCTCTAAAAGTAGTAGCTCACCCAAAGAAAATTTACCTATTAATTTACCCTCCCTCAAGCCGTCATAAGTGTATAAGACTTTTTTCGTACACTGCAAAAAAAGCTTGTCTTGCTTAGATTTAGTTGTTTTGTTTCTAGTCCAAATATTTTTAAAAAATATTCAATCAAGAAGCGTTTTCTATACAAGCAAAAATATTGTCTTGTTTTAAAAAAGTAGTATGCCAAAATTAAGAAATTAGGAGTTTCTCGTTAAAAGAAGCAAAATAGTCTGTTAATGGGGTTAGGGAAATAATACATATTTTTCTTTTTGACATAAGACCATAATTATAATTGCTTATGGTATTGGAAGACTATTTTGCTTGTTTTAAGAATTTTAATTTTAACATATTATTTTTTAAAACAAGACAGTGTGTTTTGCTCATATAGAAAATCCTTCTTTATTTAAGAATGTTTAGACATTTGGACTAGTAACAAATACATTTTTTTATTCTTTCATGGGAACCACTTACCACACAGTTTGTTTACCACAAAAAAATGAACATAAACAAGAAAACTACTTGGCTTCTGGTAAACAAACTGTGGTTCCTGTGAGATACATATACTGTATTCCAGGAACTTCCACTACAAATGCATTTTGCATCTTATGTCATACATCAGGTCAGGGGTCAGCCAAAAAGCTCTCGGAAGTCAGAGATTTGAGTTTATAATTTACAAACTGTATTTATTTAATTTTTTTAAAATCAGGATCCATTTCCTAAGACATACATTAACCCGTTGGTGGTGTTTGGGTTAGTTTTACGATGCATTTTATTCTCTTTTAGAAGCTTCAAAAAAAGGTCCATGACCTCATGCTATTATACAGCAAGGAAGCGCCAGGATAAAATCTAAATCTACTCTAACTGTGTTTGTCTTAAAGAAGAAAAGCACAGAGGATGGCCTGCAATCTTCAATTGGGTAAACTATTCCTTTAACTTGAGGTTGAGTCTCTGGAATTACACTGCTTATAAAAAAATAAATAAATAAATAAAACCTATGCAGTATGAAAACAAATGTGTCCATGTAGGAGATTTAAAAGCTGCACTAGGGATGTAAATTGTAAAACCACCACCTCACTCATTATGCAATAAAACTTGACAGCTTTCACAAAACCTTGAGCACTGCACGCAGCATGATTTCACATCACCACTGTGACTGTTGAATTAAAAAAAGCTGGATATTAGCTCCTACCCCAGCAACTGAAATCAGTTTTAATTAGAATAAAAGTCTGCCAGTCTCTGTTCTGTCAGGTTACCTTAAAGAAACAAACAGACAGACTGCTACTTTTCACAATAAATTAAGTATGAAAATCTAGAGATTTGTTGACAACATAATGACAAAAGGAAATTTTTCCTAATTCTTAATCCTGTATAAAACCATTCAATTGAATAAAATGCTATGGCTAAGCTTTGTTAATAATAGGTTTAACTCATCCCCAAGACATCTGACAGCAATTTAAACCCGTATTTAATGTCTAAGAGAAATGTATGATCAACGTTCTTTGTCTGGATTAAGTAAAACTATATGAAATATGCATATAAAAGGTGCCCAAGGGCGGCTCCATGTGCAACAATCAAGGTTGTGTTTCCATAGTAATGCCACTTAGTTGCTATGGCAAATTATTTCTTGTTGAGATAAAAGTGCTATTTTTAACAAAGACTCATTTAACACTTTGAATTAAATAAAGAACCATCATAATAATAGTGTATCTTACTTGTCTATTTTGACACTTGTCTCAAGAACTTAATACCTGTATGAACGCAAACATTAACACGGTATGCTAAAGGAACACCCAAGCACTTCAGATCCATTGATAAAGAAATTGTGCAAATATAAGTAGAGAAGGCACTGTTTAAGCTGTCAGCAGAAAAACAGTGGTCTTTTAGAGATGACTTTCTGCCTAGCATTTTCCCTGTCACAGCCTTTGTCTCAACAGAGCAATCAGCCATCATCACGCTCCCTCCCTCAAGCAGCTGCGTATATCAGAAGACACAGCTGCAAGTATCAGTGCAGACCACAGAATAAAGTTCTGCCATGAATCATGAGAACATCAAGGAACATCAAACAAAGAACATTAATCTTTGGTTTTAGTGTCCATTCATTTAGAGGATCATCAAAGCGGTGCAATAGCAAGTCAATAGAAATGTTTTCATGATCTGAGGAATCCAAGATTGATGCTTGCCAACTGTTTTGTATTCAGTATTATCCAGTTGGCTTGTTTTTTTAAAATAAAATAAAATAAAATAAAATAAAATAAAATGTTATGTACGGTACCACTGCACCCATCCCGTTTTGAGCTGGGAACAAACCGGTGATTCTTTGTATGGGAGTCGGTTGCTTTAACAAGGAGGCTAAAGACCATGGCCTGTTGCGTCTGTCGCTACAGCACCTTTTGAGGTCAAAGGAGTGAGGTTTACCTGCTTAGCACTTTGCTGACCTCTGTTAAACTCACCCCCTAAACCTCAATCCTATCTAGGACGAGCCCCCAGGTGTAACCAACCGGTACTACTGCACCCATCCTGTTCTGGGCTGGGAACAAACCAGCAATCCTTTGTATGGGAGTTGGTTGCTCTAACAAGGAGACTAAAGACCATGGCCTTTAGCGTCTGTCGCTAGAGCAATTTTTGAGGTTAGAGGAGTGAGGTTTATCTGCATAGCACTTTGCTACCTGGCCTCTGTTACAGTCTTATATATATATATATATATATATATATATATATATATATATATATATATATATATATATATATATATATATATATATAGTTGAAGTCAGAATTATTAGCCCCCTTTTCATTTTTATTTTCTTTTTTAAATATTTCCCAAATGATGTTTAACAGAGCATTGACATTTTCACATTATGTCGGATAATATTTTTTCATCTGGAGAAAGTCTTATTTGTTTTATTTCGGCAAGAATAAAAGTAGTTATTAATTTTTTAAAAAACATTTTTGGGACATAATTATTAGCCCCTTTAAGCTAATTTTTTTTTCGATAGTCTACAGAACAAACCATCATCATACAATAACTTGCCTAATTACCCTAACCTGCCTAGTTCACCTTATTAACCTAGTTAAGCCTTTTAATGTCACTTTAAGCTGCATAGAAGTGTCTTGAAAAATATCAAGCAAAATATTATTTACTGTCATCATGACAAAGATAAAATAAATTAGTTATTAGAAATAAGTTTTTAAAACTATTATGTTTAGAAATGTGCTGAAACAATCTTCCCTCTATTAAACAGAAATTGGGAAAAAAAATAAAAAAGGGTGCTAATAATACAGGGGGGCTAATAATTCTGACTTCAACTGTATATATATATATATATATATATATATATATATATATATATATATATATATATATATATATATATATATATATATATATATATATGTATATAAAAGGTATTTGTTAATTACTGTATTTCTAATAAATATATGAAGACAGGTTACATTTTGGATAATTTCATCCTGAATAGATAGGAAAGCTAAATGTTTATGTAAATAACAACAGAAAAACAGGCTGCAGCTTTTTGATAAAGGAAATGCCACCAATATTTTTATTTATATTCCTTTGATTCTGTGGCTGAAATAGGCTTCCACACAAAACTGTGTACATAATGTGCATGTTCATATACTGAATTTAATAGTTATAAATGATTTTACACCATTCATTTTGAATGTTTCTTTGACCACTTTCCCATTATATGAGTTCACTAGTGACATTACTGTTGTTGAAACAACAACATCACATTTTTTGATGTACCAACAGATCCATATGTATCATTGTTATTATCTCCTTATACCCGCTGAACTCATTATGAAGACGCAATAATTAAATTAAAGACCATTCAAGGACATGGCATTAATACCAGATGGCAAGAACACTGACAATAACACACTATAAATAAAAAAAAATAAAGATTACTGATGCGCAATGTGCCATTTCCACAGCATTGCCACACTGATCTAACCAATTGTAGATCCTGTTTTGAAGGATTCCACACAGCCTTCTAAACAGCACACGTCAAACAGCATAAAAAAAAAGAAAATTAACACTCTTGAATCCAAATTAGATCACAGAGAAATAACAACAGAGCAGACTGTGTAGCTGAGACACTTTTTTTTTTTACCCAAGCAACCGGGGAACAGCTTAATAAAGTATGCAGACTGACACTTACAATGATAAATTCACTGGCTTTGTACAATCTATCTAAATTTCTCTCTAACCCACAAGCACACACAAAAGGCATGAATGGCATATTTTCATACCTTTAGATAATGCACACATTTTTAATTAAACAAACAAACACACACACACACACACACACACACACACACACACACACACACACACACAAGTGCTACAAATTATGATAACCCGATAAGCCAAACGATCCAAATTATTTTACACACAAAATAGCATTCCGCAAACTAGTAATATTCAAAAATATAAGTTCACATACCTGTAAAGATTCTCCTGATAACACAGACCATTTAAAATGGACTGACCTCAGAAAAACCAACGTGTTGTTTTTGTTCCCATGGTGGCCTTTAACTTTCAATTTGTCAAATGTGAATCTCAATCAACCAAACAACAAAAGGGCAGTGAAGTGGAATGGGTTGAGTTTAGATAAATATCAACAGAGCAAAGAAGCGAATAGAGGAAATGAGGATAACAAAATACAAGACAACTTGATTTTCAACTCTGATAAAGTGAGAGATGTTTTGTTCTCTCCCTCCTACCTCATGCAGCTTCACTTTGACTTTATTAATGGCCTTCAACCAGCGCAGACGGGTAGGAGAGAAAGGAGGAGGACCATCCTCACAGAAACTGAAAAGAACAATTAAATGTCGTAAGATCATGAGGTTAAAAAAATCCTTGCTGGAACAACACTTTGGTTCTATATAGTCAATATATACTGTATTTATATAGTTAACTGATAAATTAATGGTTGGATAAAATACAGATAAAAATTTCAGAAATATAATTCAAGACAACAAAATACTGTTCTTTATATTTTAAGGGTAATATTTAGATCAAATGCAGATCAGACACACAATTAAAACATTCACAATTCACAACAATTTAATGCTATGATTTCATCACAGTAACTAAATAACATTAAAAAATTATAGGTGAAACTATTTACTCTCTTTCCAATGTTGTGCTTTTATTGTACAATTGTGATCGTACAATTATTGTTGCATGTTGCATCATATGTTGCATGGTATATTTATGGCAATTGTCAAAAAATATATTACATTGGTCAATATAGTAGATTTTGCTTTTATGTCAAATAATGGGTAACACTTTATTTTAATGGTCCATTTGAGTATTAGTAGACTTTTTGCTTAATATCTGTTGATACTGCACCTTTAACAGACATTTACCTGACTATAAGAAACTTTGCAAGTACATGTCAACTTACACTAACCCTAACCCTAACCTAACAGTCTAATTATAATCTGATGAAAATTTGTTGCAATGTAACTTAAATTCAACAAACTGACCATCAAAAAAAGTGTGACCAATGTAATGTAATTTTAGTGTAACTTAATTTTTAATTAGTAATATGGATTGTTAAAAAAAATGTGTACAACTTCAAAAGCTATTTTCTCAATACTTGAACGCTCGAATTCCAGATTTTCAAATAGTGTATCTCAGCCAAATACTGTAAATAGAAAACACTTTCAATAGAGCTTATTTATTCAAGTTTTATATGATGTATACATCTCTCTTCAAATAAAAAAATATGATTACATTTACATTAAAAATTATTTGCTTCTGAAATTCAAAATTTTCTTTCATAGTTTCTATTCATTACTAAATTCTTTTTTTTTATATATCCTTTATTCAGATCTATTCATTAAGTGTGCAACATACCTGTGTTGCCTCTCTGGCTTTCTCCCTTGAATAGCAACAGGTTTGGGTGTCCTTTCCACATTTACTTCTTTCTGTACATTTGATAGTATCTCTCTTTCCCCTTTTTCTGTATCATCCGAGACTGGAAGAGGTTGAGCAACAATAGCAGACCTGATTTGAGTATCTGAAAAGCTGTGTTCCTCCAGTTCAGAGCTGAACTGGGAACTGGCTTGGCTAAGGTTACCAGAAGACCCAAATCGAGAACTGTCCACCGGGCTGGTAAAAGAAAACACAAGATGTAAATATCCAAGGAACTGCAAACTAACTGTAAAATCTAATATCTGATGGCTCAGTATTGGTATTTTATTCAGAGAACTGAATAATCAAGAGGGAATAATTTACAAGAAATTGAACCTGGTCTCAAACTAAATCATGTGAACTCTATTTCTGTCCCAAGTCAGAAATTTCATCATTATAATGAGAAATCTTTGTGAAAAATCAAGTTTGTAGTATTTTTATAATGCCATTTTAATGACAGTGTGAATTTACTATAATAATACTAGATAAACTACTATATTTAAAATCCAAGTACAGTTTAAAGGAATAAATTACCAAAAATGAGCATATTCAATTTTCGGATATAAATTATGCCTTTAATGGTTAATGGATCACGTCATTCTGTAAATGACTTTAAATTTAAAGAGCAAGCTATGTTTGTGTTATATTATTCAATATATGCATGTCTATAAGACTAAAAAAGAAAATATTTAATAATGGGAGTACATAACATAAATAATAGTGGATAAAAATAAATAATTAAATGAAATTAATAAAATAATACATTTTAGAAAGATGGAGGGAAGCCATTTATTATGGTTTTACTAGCCTTTTATCAAAGGTTTTCTGTTGAAGTCTCTCCGATGGCTTTTCTGCACTGGAATCTGTGTTAGGTGTGTCCTTGTCCTTATCTATGCAACCTTGGTAAATTACAGATTTGTCCAAATGTTCAGCTTCCATACAGGGATCTTCTTGTTTACATGCTTCTAGACTGTCTGGACTTGTGTCAAAGCTTGGCTGTTCATGTAAAGAGTTGTCACTTGGACCTTCTGTATCACTGGGATCTGCACTTCCTGTGACCTCTGATTCTGGTGACAATTTATCAGCGTCAGGTTCATTTGTTTCTTCAGGTCTCAAGTCTGGGGGTTTGGACTGAGTAGCAGGTGGGGTGTGGGGAGGTGAATTTTGCCATGGGAAGCCTATTTTCCTCCCAAACATTGATGACATGGTGGTTTCTTCCTTTGCAGGAGCTGATTTTTCCTCTTGGAAGAGACCAGCAGAAAAACCTTTGAAACCAGAAAGCAGACCACTGCTCTCTGCTTGTGGCTGTGAAGGATTGGTACTAACTGAAGTGGCAGGAGAAGAAGAGCCAAACAAAGAGCTGAATGGTCTAGCTGTCTCTGCTGCGCCAGACATTAAACCACCTAGTGAGGATGTAGACAAGCCAGGTAAAGCAAAGATACCCTTAGAAGAAGGTGGTGAGGTTGGTAGTTTGTCTTCATCTAGTAATTTGGGTGTAGAAGGTGGAGTTGCAATGTCCCCTAGCTCTATCTTTGATAGCAGACCTGATTCAGATGTCTGTTTTTGAATAGTTTCAGACATTGTATTGATATCCTTGCATTCATCTATAGCTTCGTGTTGAGATTTGACCTCTTCAATAGCTTTGAATGACTCCGTATCAAGTTCTTTTAATTCTGCTTCAGTTCCTAATTTAGTATCAGCAGGCAATTCAGATTCCAATATTGCATTCGGCTTATTATCAATACTGAGGCTAGCTTGATCTTTAGAGTCTTGGGTTCCATCATGTTCTTTAGTTTCAGGCTTCTCTGGTTGCATGGTTTCATCTGATTTTGTTGCTTCTGTACCTTTAAACAATCCAAAAAGTTCACCTGTAAGGGAGTCTGTTTGAAGACTGGTTGGAAGATTAAAAAATGAACTCTTCTGTTGTTGTGGTTGTGCTGCAGCAGAGGCAGGTGATGTCTTGAAGAAAGATGTCTGTGGTACTGAGAAAAAACTAGAAGCTGCTGGCTTGCTAGGAGCACTTGGACCAGAAAACATTGACATAAATCCAGAAAATGCAGCAGGCTCTGGGGGTCTTTGAGGGCCAGGCATTCTTGGTCTCGGTTGACCAGGAAACACAGGTCTTGGTCCTCTTGGTCCAGGCATTGGAGGTCTTGGCTGACAAAAAGGTCCTGCCATTCTTGTTCTTGGCTGAGCAGAAAAACCCTGCATCCCTGGCTGAGGTACAGTAATTTCTTGTTTGGGGTGTTCCTGCTGCTGAACAGAAGAATTTGATTGTGGATCTAAAGATAGTTGTGCTGATGGTTTGTCACTTTCTTCTGACTTTGTGCTGTCATCTATTTTTTCTCTGTCCTCAGCTTGTTGACTGTTAGAATTTTTCAAGACATTGTCTTTTTCAGATTCAACAGAAGTTGTATCTGTTTTCTGAACATCATCACATTTCTCTGTATCTACAGTGAGAGCTTTCTCATTGTCTACGTGATTCTCAAAATCCAGAGGCTTATTACTCTCTTGAGATTTTTCAAGTTTTACACACACTTCTGTTTCCATATCTCTCTCTACTGGGATACCAGCTTCATTTTGCATTTTATTTTCTTTTGATTCTGATGATATCTCATTTTCAACAGCTTTACCTGTTTCTAATGACACCTCAGATGTTTTCTCACATTCAACCGGCTGCAAAATGCTCTCTTGCTTTGATGAATTCTCTTCAAAATCTGTTTTCTCTAAGCAAGTGGCAGCAGTTTCTTGATCAATTACCATGTCCAGCTCCTCATATTTAAGTTGATTATTAATGGTTTGTCCCTCAAGTGTTTTGTCAACTACAGAAGTTTCTTCATTTTTAAATTGCCCCTCTGTCAGGGAAACAAACTCTTCAGTCTCATTCGTTGTCTCATATGTCATGCAATCAGTTTTCTCTAAATTACTGGTTACAGTTTTATTCTCTGTTGGCATGTCCAGATAATTGTTGTTAAGTTGCTCTGTAACGGCTGTTTCCTTGTTTATTTTGTCAACCACTGAAGTTTCTTCAATTTTAGGTTGTTCCTCTGTCAGAGGAATAACCTCATTAGTCTCATTTACTGATGTCACAGAATTAATTTTCTGTGAACTACTGACTATAGTTTCTTTTTCTTTTCCTTTGTCAAGCTCTTCATTTTTATGTAGATCATTGATGGTTTGTTGCTCATGTGTTTTGTTATTCACTGAGGTGTCTTCATGTTTTGATTGTTCAACTGTCAGTGGTACAACATCTTCAGTCTCATTTATTGACGTCATAATTTTAGCTTTTGCATCATCATTTATGGTCAAGCCAATTTCATCAGTCCTCCTTTCAATATTCATAAGGTTTTCATTCATTTCATCACCCGGTTTCTTGTCTATCTTATCAGGAGGTTCAAAGGTAATTTCTACTGGAACTTCTTTAGCATCAACAGAGTCGTGTTCATCTTTAATTGCATCAGATAATGGTGTAGGTGTTATTTGGGAATCTTCACGTATAGTGGCTGAATCTGCATGTTTTGAGTTGGACTTTTTATCATCTGTGACAGACACAAGATTGACTCCAGTAGATTTTGGTTTATCAGACGAGAACACAGATGGAACTTTAAAAATATTTTCTGGGTCAGAGCCTCCACTGGGACTTGGCCCACCAAACATAGAAAACAGTCCTTTTGCTGTTGTATCCTTGTTGTTGGATTTGGTTGTAGCAACATCAGTTGGTGTTTGCGATTGAGAACCACCACCAAACATGGAAAAAAATCCAGGCCCATTACTATCTTTGGCTCCAGAACCAGGCAAAATCCCTCCAAGTATTGAGGGTCCTGATCCACCTGTCTGTGCTGTTTGCTGAGAAGACCCACCAAACACAGAAAATAGTCCCTTTGGAGTTGGAGCCCTTGGTCCAGGTTCAGTTATAGCCCTTGGAACATGTCCCGGTGGTCCTCTTGGTCTAGGTCCTGGTGGTCCTCTTGGTCCAAGTCCGGGTGGTCCTCTTGGTCCAGGTCCTGGTGGTCCTCTTGGTCTAGGTCCTGGTGGTCCTCTTGGTCCCATTTCTTGGGCCACACTTGGAGTAGGCATGTGTGGTAGTCTTGGTTCAACAAGTATTTCTTTTGGACCAGACACTGGTGGAACTTCCTGGTCATGTTGTGGTTGTGCAACAGATCCACCAAATATAGAAAATAAGCCCTTTCCAGGTGGTTCTTTGGGTACAGATGATGCAGGGGTGGTCTGAGGACTGGCGCTTCCGAACATTGAGAATAATCCTGTACCTGACATTTCTTTGGAGGATGAGGACCCAGGGAGTATACCTCCCAGTATTGACTGTCCACTTTGATGCTGAGACTGACCCAAAGATGAACTGCCAAAAAGTGAGAATAACCCTTTTCCAGATTCCTCTCCAACAGCTGTGTCTTTGAGATTGGAAGAAGTAACAGGTTCAGTACTGGTTATTTCTGCCTCTTCATGTGACCCTGCACTCTGCATTTCCACCTCCTTTGCATTTGGTTCAGATTTTAGCATTGTGGTTTTTAAAGTATCTTCTGATTGTTCCTGTTCATTTTCTGAGGACACTGGTCCAGAATTGATACTCAGTTGTTCAGACAATATTTTAGGGGATGCTTCAGAGTCTTTTATTTCTTCTTCACACTTTGATGAGATGTTAGCACCATCTTCTAGCTTGGACTCTTGTTTGAAGCCACTGGACACTAGGTCATTATTTTTGTCATCTTCAGGATCTGTTTTTGCAGAACCGCTGGACTCAGGAGAGTTACTGCAATTTTGTTCAGCAGGGCTTGGCATTAATTGTGATGAAATTACATCTAAATTGATGACTTCATCCTCAATGTAATCATCATGTTTAATCTCAGAAACTTCTACTAGAGCGTCTGGATATGTCATTATATTACTGTCTTTCGTTTCTTGAGATGTCAAAACTGTTGTAGCTAAATCATCTTGAGAAACATCAGAGCTTTCCAAAGGAGACATATTAATGAGAGACGAAGTAGTTTCATCTTTCTCGGTTGGATTGGGTTCCTCTGTCATGATATCTTCGTCACTAGGACAGTCTTCAGGACTGCTAGCTTCTGAAATCATGATCTGAGGGATAAGCATCTTCCTTGGGATTAAACCAGAAATAACTAGTGATCGTCCCTCAAGTTCAGTAGGTGAAACTGGAGTGAATAATGGTACCTCTTCAATGGACATCATCTCAGACAAAACAACCTGCTGTGAAGAAACATCTAATTGACCAATAGTGTCCACCACAGAATCGACTGCAGAATCAGACTGACAAACCGTTGTTTTCTGAGGTATAGGGTCTTGTAAAGAAGCCTGAATTGATGAACCCAGGGCATCACTTCCACTGACTGTAGCTGAATTGTTTTGGGTTAACAGTTTTTCTGTTAAGTTTAAATCAGTCTGATTGCCAGACATTTCTGTTAATGGAATCTCTTTTACCTGTGTTTGAGGGGTTGAGTGAGTAATTGCAGACCCACATGAAGATGTAGCAGGACTGGTGGTAATCTGAAATGATACATCACGTGTGGTTAAACTTTCTGATATAGAGATCCTTTCAGAAAGGTTTTCTTGAGATTTTGGCTCTGCTGGCATAACAAAAGTAGTCAATGGCTGTGAAATTGTGACAGTACATGTTGAAGCAGAACTCTGAGAAGATGTTTTAATGATCTGAGAAACAGATGCACTGCTGTGTTGAACTAGTGAACTCCTTGTTAAAGACTGGTCAGTCAGAAAAACTTGAGTTTGTATAACTGGTGAAGCTTCTTCAAGTTCGACAGATGGCAGTGTTGTAAATACAGAACTTGAAAGAGGCTCAGTGGGTGACGTTATTAAGGAGGGTGGGGCAGTATTTGCTTGATCAGTAGTTAAAATGGTTCCACTGAACACTGATGTATCAGCAGTTGTCGTCACTGTCTTTTTTGTAGACATGGTCATTTCTTGTTTGGATTCAGAACAATGTTGAAGTGAGGGTTTGATAACTGGCTGTAAGATTATATCACTTTTTTGTGAAACATTAGCTGTTGTTGGCTTTGAGCCTGCTCCATCAAATAATGATATTAATCCTTTGACTGACACATTTTTGCCTGAGACTGAATGTGAGGCTTGATCTGGAGATTGTTGATGAATATCAATTACACTTTGCTTGACAGATGAACTTGTTAAACGTAGTTGTGGACATGCCATGGAATCTCGAGAGTTTGTAACACTTGATGGCACAACAATGACTGATTCTAATACAACGGGAGAAGTTGTTACTGGCAGACTTACAGAAGTAGACACAAAGTCAGTTGACAGACCTTTATCAGGTGTGGATACATCTTGTACTGATATAACTGGAACAACTGAAGTTTGAATATGTGTGTCGTCTAATACTAAGGGCTTACTGATGAACGTAGCTGTACCACTCTGAGGAATGAATTCTTCTCCAAAGCTTTCCACTGTTGATTGTTTGATAAGACCTTTGGATCTTGAGACAGAAGTAGTTGTAGTAATGAATGACTCAGCTTGATTAATAAGTTGGCCACCTTCATTCTTAGTTAATGCCAAGGGTACTGGGTCTCTGCTGGTGATTGACCTTTCATCTAGTCTTTGCTTAGTTGTGTTCTCTGCGGAAACTATGTGAGTCACAGATTTTGTAGGCTGGCCACTGAAGACCACCACTTTAGATGAATCACCGATTTGTGTAGGGACATGACAGCCATGTGGATCAACATAGGTGTTGCATGCAACTGGAGGCTCCTTGTCAAGTAATTGTCTGTTGACTGGTTCAATAGGTTTGATTTGAGCTTCATTTGGTTGTAAAGAAGGTTTGGGGAACTGCAAATCAGTCATTTGCAGTGATCTTATCAAGTGAACTGATGTCTCTTCCGTTTGAGTAGGCAAACTGGATTGAAAAGATAGGTTTGATGCTTGTGATTCAGCTAAGCTCTTTGACTGGGTTACCAACATTCCCTGAGTTCCTGACAGCCGAGGAGAATCTGTCTTTTTTGTTGTAGCTGAAATTTGAACAGCTTTTATAGGTGCTATACATGATGATGTGTTCTGGGTGGATATGCCACTAGTTCTAGGAGATGAAAGATCTCTGATGTCATCATCCCTTTTGTTTCTTTTGATGTCGATCTTTATGTCAGAAGTCAAGTCGACAGCTCCAGCATATGATTTTTTACAAGCAGAACTACCATTGTCTGGATATCTGTTCCCAATCACTGATTTCTCCTCTACACTTCTAGTATAATCCACCAGGTGACCATTCTCAAGAACAGAAGGACTATAGTGTTTTGTAAGTTGAACATTAACAGAAAAGTCCAATGGTTTGTTGAATGGCTGAGATTCTACATTTTGTGTCTTTGTAACTGAAAGGATTCCATTTCGGTGATAGGTGGGGATCTGCTGGCGCAACAAAGGCTCTATAGTATGACGTCCATTCATTGATTGTTTTTGGTTTGCGTTGCCTTTTACTACTAAAGAAGTACCATGTGACTGTTTTTGAAGGATCTGTTGAGATGGTGAAAAAGATTCAACTATTAATGGCATTCCTGTTGAATCTTTTCTTGAACACTTGTTGATGACTGCTTTATCTTTGACAAGAGGCATTACTCCACTTGAAAGCATTTCTTCTGTTGATTCCTCATACATTTTACAAGTTGATCGGACAACTGACAAATCAACAGTGGATTTAACAGTGTTAGCTGGTGCAGAAGGTACTTTTGCTGCATGAGCCATAGTTGATTTCAAAGAGAAAGGTGAAACATCCTCACATAATTTGTTTTGAATTCGAACTGGTTTAGGAAGCAAAGGAGGATCTACAATTAATGGTACACCTGGTAGTCCTTTAAAACATTCAGCATCAGTGGCTTGTCTTGTTTTTAAAAGTGACATCACACCATCTTCCATCCTAACCTCTTCAGAAATTTCTGATGACTTCGAAAGGAGTTTTGGAGACATGTCAACTATGTTTTTGATTGTATTAGCAGGTGCTGTGTGTATTCTGTTGGAAGTTCCTGAAAAAGATGCTTGATGTTTCATTTGAAATATTGCTACTTCACTATGAAAGGAACACTCAGTAGTAGAGATGACTTTAGGGGACTGTTGGGGTGAAGTACTGCTATTCTTTTCCTTATGTGTTCTTTCTGATCTTTCCTGAACCTGTGATGGAGATATGGACTCCAATATATAATTTTCTTTAGAATCAGAAGGTATAACAATTAACGGCAATCCATGGGATGTCTCTGTGTCAGAAACACAAGGTGATGTTTTTCGTTTCATCAGTGGCATTGGAGATAATTCCAGCTTTACCTCTTGGATTTTTTCAGTTGGCTTAGGAGACATATCTAATACAGTTTTAACAGCACTGGCTGGAGCAGAGGCTCCCTGAAAACTATGTGCTTGTTGATTTAAGACTGGAACTAACTTGGATGTTTGCAAATCCATCTTCTGTTGTAAACCATCACGTTGTGTAAAATTTGATTTTGATTCAAATCTTTGGGGAAATGATTTCTGCTGTTGTGTTGGAGGCTCCATAATCAGAGATATACCAACAATCTCCTCATTGCAATCTGAGATTGATGTTGATCTTGTCCTCATAAGTGGCAGTGCTTCCTTTTGAACTGCCTCAGTTACTACGGCTGCACAAGTAGTTGATTTCGCAGACATGTCTATTGTAGCTTTAACTGCATTTGCTGGAGCAGTTGATGATTCATGATAATTTGAAGGGTGCACTGGCAAACTTGCAGTTCTATTATAATGGGATGTTTGTCTGTGTACAGCAGAGCCTTCCTGAGAATATTTGGGTTCACCATATATTATCTGTGGCAATGATTTACGCCTTTGTGAGAGAAGATTTTCTTTTGTTATTGATGGCTCAACAAGCAAAGGCAAACCAACAAGCTCTTCATTGCCATCTGAGATTGATGATGATCTTGCTCTCACAAGTGGCAGCGCTTCCTTTTGCATTGCTTCAGAAACTACAGCCAATGGAGCAGTTGATTTTGCAGACATATCTAATGTAGCTTTGATTGTATTCGCTGGAGCAGTAGATGTTTGATAAGTGTGTTGCATTGGCAAATTTGCAGTTCTGCTGTAAATACTGTTTTGGATGTTTAAAGCAGGTTCTTCATGGAAAAAGTTGGATTTACTAGATATAAGCTGGGGTAATGACTGATACCTTTGTAAGATATTTGTCTCATGTGCTGATGCCTCTACAAGCAAAGGCAAACCCACTGAGTTTGTATTCAATTCTGTGATTGAAGCCCGTCTGCTTCTTAGAAGTGGTACTGCTTCATTTACAGAGGTGTCAGTGATTTTCATCTCTGCATGCTTACCAGCTGTCTTTGAAGTCATATCCAGTGTTGATTTGACTGAATTTGCTGGAGAAGTGTTCCCATTATGCAATTGTCCAGTCATGTGATTCTTTCCCAAAAACTCTGTAGCAAGTGAAGTCTGCCTTATAAGGCCAATTTGTTTATTTTTAACAGGCACCTTCAATGCTGGGCTTAACACTGGTGATGTCTTTATTTCAGGACGTATATGTGGCAATGGTGCTTGAGGTATGGATGTTGGCACATGGCTGGGTTTGGCACTTCTTATTAAAGGACCTCCTTCTAGCCGATCAAGCTGAGCTGGTGTTGAGACTGACTTGATTGCTGACTTTGGAGGGGAATCTGCCAGAACTTTGGCAGAGCTTACTTGAGAGCCACCTGCTTTGACCAGCTGAGCCGAGGCTTGTCCAGAAATCTGGGGTTTTTGCTTTGATGATTTGGGTGCTTCGTTACTGCACCTGTCGTTTTGTCTGGACACTCCACAGTCTGGAGGAAAGTATCGAGGTTGGCTTCGTGGCGAAGGTGGAGCAGATACAGTTCCCATTGGTACATCAGACATTGTCACACAGATATTTTGGACTTCCAGAGCTGGAAATGTGATATTAATTTCTTTCACTTCATCAGTTAACTCAACAGTAAGGTCAACAGCTGCTGTCTTACTCATCTCAGATATTTCCTCATTCTGTTTTTTATCCTTTAGCTTTGTTGTGGTAAAGTCAATCACGTCCTGAATAGAATTTTCAGTATTAGCATCTACCTGAGATTTCTCATCATTACATTTGTCTTTTTTGCTCAAGGTTCCAGAGAAATCCATAGGCTTAGTGCAAAAAAGAGAGTCGATTGCCACTTGAGGCTTGTTAAAGAGTAAATTTTGTGGTGGTGGCAATGACATTTTTTGATTTGACATCACTGTGCAAGATTTTGGCTTTATGGGAAGTGCTGCAGTCTTGGAGCTTTCAAAATGAGAAGATTCCTCAGATGGTTTTGACTGTGTTGACTGTGATTGCTGCCTTGCCAGTTTGTGTTTCTGAGATGATGCAGAATGCTTAGAACTAATACTTGCTGTGAGTTGTGTGGTCGAAACTGAGGCTGGTTGAGCAGGCAATATTCCAGGTGTTGTGCTTGCAATAGGCTGTGTAAGCCCATTCTGTTTTGTTGAACTTGTTGGTGTTACAGGAAGTGTCCTAGCTGATGTAGGTGGAGTCCCATTTCCCTTCACTATATCAGGAAGTTTTCTAGATGATGCCTGACTTTGTGGAGTAATTGTAGACCCTGTTGGTGCTACAGGTATGTTTTTAGCTACCTGTGGTGCAGTAGATGTCTTTTCAACAAAGTTTCCAATGGTGGAAAATATGGGATTGAAAGTTTGTTTCATCTGAGCTTTCTGCTCAACATGCGTATCATCTACTTGGCCAATCACAATTTCAGGAATTGAAGATTTTGTAGTTGAGGGATGCTGTCTATGGCCCATTGAGGAAGTAGAAGTCCGTTGAGGAAAGGATTTTGGCACTGACACTTGAGGAAAAAGATCTTTAATACTCTGATTTCTCCAGTATGGTCCACCATGACATAGATCATTTGCCTTCTTTGAGAGATCAGCTGCTTCTAGCTGCTCTACTGTAGAAATTATACCTGGCTCTTGAGAACCCATTTTTACTTTTTGGAGTTTATACACACTATAATCAACAACTTGCTCTGCATGTGCATTTACAGACTCATGAAACATTTGGGAGAACCGCTCAAGGTTCATGTTCATAATCCTGTCACCTTTCTGAAGAGCTGAAGACAAATCAACAGGAGCATTTCTGAGCTGAGAGTCACACTGATTGTTCCCAGGTATTCCAGGCATTTCATATTCATTGAATAGAGGTATTTTAAAACCACAAAGTGTCATCTTTGGTTTATCCTTTTTATGAAGAATACTAGATATATTTTCAGTGATTTGTTCCAAGATGCGGCTCTCCTCTGGGGTTGCACATGCATAAAGATGCTTACCAGCCCTATCAGTCAAAAGAGAGTAAATATATTCCTCATCCATGTAAACATAATATCCACAATCTCCTGCCTCAGCCGGCCACCACATTCCCTGCTCCAACAAGCACAGCCACTGTTGGTACCACTCAGAATCTTCAAAAATCATATCATCGTCTATATCTCCATTGGCAGCTACTGTGCTACTGAGGTTGACAGCACCTGGAGTCAAATCTAATGGCCCCTTTTTCTCAGTTAGTCGCTTGAAGAATCTGGAGTCAAATTTCAAATTATAGGGTGGTTTGGGAAAAATGTTTGTTGGGCATGAATATGCATCTGCTGGTGGGTTTTTAGCAGCTTCTTTCTCCATCCAATGTTTTTTATCACTGCAGTCATGCAAATTGCCAGAGCCTCCCAAGGGTTTCTTGTTACTCATGTCAAACACAAACACATCCTCTCCATTTGCTAGTGGAAGACTACTTTGAAATGGTAAACTGGGAACATCCTGCCAGGGATGAGATGGGATATGGAACTGACTAGGATCCATATTTTTTAAGTTCCACCATTCAGGTCTCTCCACAACTGGTTCAAAAGGTAATGGTCCAACCTGATTTGGAAAAGAATAGTCTGGAACTTGTGTTGCTAGGGTCTCCAATAGAACATATTCATTCAGCTGCTGCCAAAGAAGTGCTTCGATGAGACATTGATGTTCATACAGTTCTGGTGGGATCACACCATGTTCAGCAAATACGTGCAATAAATCTTGGTAGCCATAATTATTAGCAGTCCCATACAAGAGTCTTTGGATCTCATCTATGTACTGTTGCGTAGACTGCACTGCAGGATGCAAGTTAGCAGGTTGTTGAACCACTTCACTTGCAATTTTGTTTGACTCTAAACTCCCGGTGCTGCATGATACTTTAGGAGTGGTGTCTTCTGTACTCTGCTTAGATTTCATTTCATCAAGGAAGGCCTTCTGTGGATCCTTACTTTTTGCTGTAGTGTCAGATTCATTGGTTCCAGATTTAAAAATTCCAGAAAGTATACTTGTAGCACTGTTAACACTACTTTTTGTTTCTTCTTTGATTGGAGGAGATTTAGGTGAAGACTCTTCTTCTGAGATCTTGCTAAATAATCCAGACAACAAACCTTTTTGTGCTGAAACCTTTTGATCTTTTTCACTTCCATCTTCAGAGGACTCAACTGGTTTGGCCCTCTGAATCTGTGGGCGAACCTGACTAGGTTTAATTCCAGTACGTTCCTGTTGCTGTTGCTTGGGTTTCTGACCAGGAGAAGCTTCAGTTGTTGCTGGCGATTCTTCAGCTGTTGAAGTAAGTTTGCTTAAAAATCCAGATAAAATGCCACTAGATTCATTTTGCTGACTGGTGATACTTTGAACAGATGCATTTGCTTGTTGATTGCTTGACTGGGCATGTTGCTGCAAAGATTCATCTGAGGTAGCCATTTTGAAAATGCTAGAAAACAGACCACCAGATTGATTTTGCTCTGGTTTTGCTCCTTGTATTGTAGTTTGACCTTGACATTGTGGACTTTGAGTCTGTCTTCCTGAGGCAGGATTTGACTGCTGTCCCCCAAAAGCTGGTTTTGGATTTGCAGCTTCTGACCCCATCTTCAAAAGACCAGAAAGAAGTCCACCTGATTGGCTTGAAGCGGCTGACTGCTGGGAAGATGTGTGACTCTGTCCTGAGGCATCTGGCCTACTTGTTTGTTGGTTATGCTGACCTCCAGGGGCAGGCTTTGTTGACTGAGCAGGAGTATCTACTGAGGCAAGTTTGTTGAAAAAGCCTGAGAGCAAACCCCCTTGTGGTGGCTCTGGAGTTGGGGTATGAGATGGAATCTGATTTTGTCTTTGTAAAGGCTGCCTGATTCCCTGCTGCTGTTGACTTGATCCAGGTGGTCCTTGTTTTGACTGTGTTGTTGATGCAGGGGATCCTTGTTGTGATGGTGCTGGTGTCTGATTAGTTGAAAAAAGCCCAGAAAAGAACCCACCTGATTGGCTAGAGGACTGCTGATGGACAATTTCATTTGGACCAGACTTACTAGTCTGCTGTGTGGTTTGTGACTGGGGTTGTGGGGTTGCTGTGTCTGCAATCTTATTTAGCAACCCAGAGAATATCCCACCTGATCCACTTTGAGGTATTTGCTGAGAAGGAACTTGGTTTTGTCCTTGCAAGTTTTGCATGTTACTTTGCTGTGCGTTAGTTTGACCAGAACCAGAGGTTTCCTGTTGTGACATATTCTGGGGAACTTGCTCTTTGGCATTATTGTTGTCTGAAGCACTAATACCAAACAGCCCAGAAAGAAAGCCACCTGTTTGAGAAGATGGTGGTTGGTCAGGGGGATTAGGGCTCTGATGTGATGTCAGGCTACTATTTCCAGGATGTGGCTGTTGAGAAGCACTCTCTGGAGCTGTTAGCTTATTCAAAAATCCTGAAAACATTCCACTTGCTGTAGCAGATGTTTGTGGTGTCTGTGCATTTGGTTTGCTGGGTTGCTGTTGATTAGGCTGTCTGCTTGGACCACCTGATTGTTGTGACCCTGTAAGAGCACTCTCTGTAAGTTTCAGAAGTCCCCCAAAAAGTCCACCTGTTTGACTTGGTGGTGGTTCAGCTGGCTGTGATTGAGATTGTGGTTGACACTTTATTTCTGGTTGTTGTTGACTACTGCTTTGTTGTGATATTTGCGGCTGTGGAGGCTGGGAGACAACTTCAGGTGCTGAAATGGTCTCAGGAGTCTTTAATTTTAAAAGCCCAGATAAGAAACTTCCTGACTGAGGTTGAGGTGAAGCACCTTGTGATGGCTCATTAGATACACTTTCCAAACTTACTTGTTTTGGGACATTCTGCTTTTCAGGAACTGGTGCTGATTGGGCAGATGTTGTTTGCGAGTTTGAAACTGTGTCACTGGCCAATTTTAACAACCCAGAAAAAAGTCCAGTACTCTGTGGTTGGCTGTGGCTTTGAGCTGCAGGTTGGCTCTGGCCTTGAGCTCCAGGTGTTTCCTGAAGGGCATTGCCTTCGCTTGAGGGTTGTTGATGTTGTGGGGATGCTGATTGGTTGTTTGTGTTAAAGCTTTCAGGGGCAGCAATTTTCAGTATTCCAGACAACAATCCTCCTGACTGTGGAGGTGCTGTTCCTGGCTGAATCTGGTTCGTGTTTTGGGTGCCAGTAACAGTAGAAAGTAGCCCTGAGAGTAATCCGCCTTGTTGAGATTGAACAGAACTTTCTTGGGGTTTGTTGATTCCAGATATAAGACTAGATAGCAAGCCCTGAGGCTGGGGTTGTGTCTGTGTATCAGTTTGTGACATTGGTTTCACCTGGTCCTCTTCTTTCATAATTGTTTCATCTTTAGGTGCGTTTTCATTTCTCTCAGCTTGGTCTGAACCCAATGCATCACTTTTAATTTCACTTTGATATTCAGCAGATAGAGACTCATTATGATGATTTGTTGCACCATCATTTTCTGCAACAACATCTGCAGAAGATTCTATATGGTCTGTTTTTTCAGGATTCACAATGACAGTGGGAATATTATGTGTAGCCGTTGTCTTTGATGAGGCTTGTGTTCCAGTCTGTGGCTTTGGTTGTTGAGTTGGACTTGCCTTAAACAGATTGGAGAACCATCCAGTGTCTGCGTTTCCTTTGGAAACACTTTCAAGCAGGGCAGAACGACTAGACAGTGGTGTTTTAGTACCAGCTTGGGGTATACCAGGTTTAGGAGGATTGGAATCCTCACCTGTTGTCAGTTTTAGAAATCCAGACAGCAAACCACCCTCTTGTTTAGGTGCCTGAGTACTGTCTGGCGCATCAGAGGAAAAGAAAGGGAGCTTTAATTTATTTCCAAGAGAACTAGATACATCCTCAGCTTTTGAAGCCTCAGTTGGCTTAAAAATAGAAAACATTGAGGGGGTATCGTTTGATTTTTGGTCATCTGTTGTATTGTTTGATATAAGTGAATTCAGTGACTTCTTAAATGGGCTGAAGAATCCAGTATCTTCTGCGGGTGTTTGACCAGCAGGAATAGCTTCAATTTTTGTCTCTTCTAGCTTGTACATAGCACCTCTGGGCAGGGAATCAGGCAACTCACCAGATGATTCTGTTTCAGGTAAGAGCTCTACTGATCCACTTACCGAACCCCCACATGAGAGCTGGTGCTCAGGATGTGCACCTGATCCTTCTAAAGACAAACTCTTGAATTTATCAACTGATCCTTCTTTAGACTCTGTCTTTTCCTGCGATGTGTTTGTTTGAGAAGTAGTTTCAGCACTAGTTTTGTCTCCAAAAAGCCTGAAAGGGCTTAATCTTCCTAGTACTGAATCAACTACTGTTTGAGTCTGACTTGGAGTGGAGTCCTGAGTTTGTGAGCCAGTTGAATCAGAAATGTTCACAGCATCAGCCTCAGAAGCAGCACTAGCTGGTCGACTGACCTCTGGAGACTGAAATGGCAAAAGTGATTGCAAAGAAAACTTCTTGTCTGCATTAGCTTCCTGGTTAGCAGGTGGTACAATAGCAACAGGAGTTGGACTTCCAGTCGGTTTGGGTATGAAAGAAAATAGTTTGGAAATACCAGACTCTGACTGGGGAGGAACTGGAGATGGAGTTTTTGCAGCAGATTCTGTTGATTCTATATTTTCCGCTGCTGGTTTGGTATTTGTTATTGAGCTAAACAATGAGCTCATGGCATTTTTAACACCTGCAATTCCTTGCTCCACAGCCTTTTCCTCTTTTACCTCAGCTGGTTTGTACTCGGGTTTCTTTTCTTTACTTATTGTTTCTGTTTCTGTTTTTGTGTCAATTTTATCCATTGATTCGTACTTACTAATTTCCTCCTCTCTACCCGCCAAATATTCAGATACAGAGTCAACTAAGTTCTGAAGTTCATCCATCGTGTCATGATACTCCTTATTTGGTTGCTCTAAAGATGACAACATTACATCCGGGTTCCTTGTGCAAATATTTCTCATAACACTTTTTTGTTCATAATAGTCCTGGGACCATTCATCATAAGAGGAAATACATCTTGCATTACTGTAGTAACTGTCATATTCATATTGTGCATCCTCTTCTACAAATGCCATATCATCTAGCTCCTCTTCAGACCCAAGAGAGAACTGCATTTCATCTGATCCTGCAGACCCATATTCACTTCTTGCTTTCATTCTGGCTTCCTCCTCCTCACAGTAAATTGTATAGTTTTCAAGAGTATCTTCAAATGAGGTTTTGGCCCACATCCTAGTTTTGTACAACAGTCCTTCTGTATATGATGTATTTTCTGCCCTGCGAAGGTGGCTAATTGAAGGAATTATGGAAATTTCAGGAGGGGAAATTTCCTCCTCAAAGTCTCTTACTTCCTTACAGACCAAATGGACCTCACTGCTATTTCTTCTAATGGGATTACCAGATTCATCATAGTCATCTGCTTCCTCAGGGGACATTGCATCACATTTTTCTGTCTGAGAGACGTGACTGCCTTTGGTGTCACCTGGGCTGGTCACGATTCTATAAATTTCACTTTTGGTGTCATCATCATCATCCCACTTTTTCTGCTCTGGTTCCAGATAATCATCCAGTATATTGTTATCAACTTTGTATTTGGTCTCCCAGTCTTCAACTCCCATGCCAGAGTCCACTGGAATCATTCGGACAGCGTCTGCACCATTTGAAAATCTGGTGTGCATGAAGTAAAGGTGCCAAAAGCATGGATAAAAAGAAGAATCAACATAAAGATAAATAAACAAAATCTTAAAATCAAAAATCACAGATGGATAGAAATGAAAATAAATTAAAATGCATGTATGAAACAACTGAAACTGTTGAAGAACATTTTATGGTAATGACAGAATGCAAAAACATGCCTCTTTATAATACATAATCTTAAATCCATTTAATATATCCAAATATCCTTAAAAATAAAATGTAAATTTATATAACACTTTAGTTATAGTAACAATTCTCACTAATAACTAGTAGCTTATTACCTACCTATAGACTGACTGTATATAAGTAATAACGTACATATTCTGCATGATCTTATTTTACATGCCTAAATCCTACCTAATATCTAAACCTAACTACTACCTTTATAACTATTAATAAACAGCAAATTAGGAGTTTATTGAGGCAGAGCTCATAATGGTTGGCAATAATAATTTATTAATAGTGAGAATTGTTCCTTAACAGAAGGTGTTACCTAAATTTGCATTAAAAGAAACTCCAAGACATTATGGTTCTGCTTTACCACATTAAATATATAAAAAAAGCACATTTTTACATTTCATTAAATGCAAGAGCAGTGCAATAAACTTTTTTACAAGGCACTTCTGAAAACAAATCCCTGATTCTTATTCAGGGTAATGTTAAATAACTATCTTTTTTAAGAACTTTTAGATAATATGTATGTAATACTGTATTTATTAAAAGCATGTATGATATTTATCATACACACATTTGTGTAATCAAGTGTTAAATACCTCTGCTCCCTTCCTTCTCTATAGTCCAAATCATAGCTCTGGATAGAGTCAGTCCTAGACTCTTTTGGCAATGCCTGATGCTGTGACCTTCGACCAATAGGGTACTGATGCACTGAAGAATTGGGTTGAGCTGTGGTGTGGTATCGTGGAGGCCTGCTATTTGTTTCACTTCGGTAATCACTGTCCCTGTCATCAACAGCACTGTCGTGATCATCGAAATCTATAGAACAATACAATTCACAAATGAGTAAATTGTTACCATGGAGGACTGATGTTTGCTCTGAACACTCAAAAAGAAGTATATGGAATGAAATGAAGGCAGAGACATCAATGTAGAACAGAAATTATTACATTAAAATACCAAAGCACAGACAGCAGAGTGAAATGCAACTTTACTGTAAAATATTTTGACAATTTAAAAAAAAAATTACTATACAAACATGATGACTTCATAATAAGAGGAAATACAAAACAACTGATACTTTTATACTTTTATTTCTACAGAGCAGTATATTAACTTAAAGTTGGTTTAAAATGCAAATAATATGCACAACACTTAAATGATAATGGGAAACCAAAAGTGAAAAAGTAAGAAGAATATTAAAAATTGATATGAAATGCATTAACTTTATCTTGGTGCTTGGGCACAACAACAAATTCTTTATAATTAATATCTTCTTTTTTTATTGTTAGAATACTAGTAAATTTAACAATAACACACAAAATGAACTAATTATTTTCTGTCAAAACTAAAAAAATTAGGTAATTTATTAAACAGCTGAAATGTTTTGGATATTTCCTTAATATATAATATAAAATATATATTATAATAAATATGAACCATTTAACTCAATAGTCACTCTCAGAAACTGTGTAGTTTAAATTCTCAATTGCAAGTGACACAAACAAAACCTGACTCAATCTCTCTTTGGAAATTAATACATTAAATCAAATCTATAATCTAGTAAAAGAAAAATGAATGTGAAAAGATGATGATTTCCAACACACAAAGTACATACTCTGCTGATCATTCCACCCAAAATATGTCCAATTGCCTAGTGATGTGGAGAAAGTTAAACAACAGAAACATAAATTATCACTGCATAATCACTTTAAAGTTTACAGTAAAGTAAACACGGTCAAATACTTCTGTGATTTACTCAAAGACTTTTCGGTTGCTTAATTCACCTAAAATATAATTGTCTACAACTAATAATGCGTATATTGTTTCAAATCCATATTACATGAGAAGATGTTAGAGTGTTAGACAGAGTCTCAGTATTCACTTACACTACAATTTCAAAGCAAGTAAATTATAAAAAAAAAATTTGAAAATCGATACAGCTTTGGAGCAATATATTTTTTTTGTTTTCCATTTTTATCATTTTTAATGAATCTTGATATATATGGAGGACGAAACCTGCAGGTAAATATATCTATAAATAAAATTTATTTCTGCATAAATAAAATAACAAATCAATAAATCTGCAAATAAATAAATAAATGTATATAAAAATCCACAAATTAGCGCATGAATAAATATAAAAATAATAAATACTGCAGACGGGTACATAATTACATAAATTACACAAGAGAATAAAAAAAATGCTAAACTGAAAGTTTATTTTAATAAACGTGTGAAAGAAGGGTAAAAAAAACTTCCAGTTTAGCATTTTCTTATTTCGTGTAATTTATCAATTATTTGCCTGCCCACACTATTAATTGTTTAAATATTTATTTATTCAGGAATTTGTGGATTTTTATAGACATTTATTTATTTATTTATTGGCATACTTATTTATTTAATCTTTTATTGATGCAAGAATTTAGGGATTGATTTGTTTGCTCATTTATTTATATATTTGCGTATTTATTTATTTATTGTTCTTCCAGGTTTTGTCCTCCATGGATACATGAAATGATATAAGTAAAACTAAACAACATAATTATTTGGGATAAGTATTCCAACAGCTTTAAACTACTGCCATCTATTGGCTTAAAAAGGACACAGCTGCATATTCTTTGCAATCCCACAATAAAAGCTGAAAAGAAAACACTTACAGCACTGGGAAGACACTGGAGGCAACTGTCTTCTCTGTGCTTCATCTTGCAGTGAATACTATAATTTAAAAAAGATATACTAAAAAACACCATAATGATTCACAAAAAGAAGCATTTCAACAAAAAACAGCTAACATAGATGATTAACAATAAGCCATATGGTACAGTGTGCATCATTTTTAACTAATAACGTGGCATTCAGATGCTTTAATCTTTTTTTGCATTTGTTGGACAGTATAACTCTCTGGTCTTTTTAAACTACAGTATAAGTCATGTGCAGTAACTCACTGCTCGCAGCAGGTGGCAATAGAAGATAATATTTTCACTAAACAGCAGAATTCCCTTTTGGTCAAACCAATAAAATATTGATGAGTGTAATACCTAATACAAAAATACCTATCCGTAAAAAAAAAAGCCAAATCACAAAAGAAAAAACAAACAAACCTAAAGCTTTAGGTGCTTTTTATCTTTCATTTAAAGAAAAGGTTCTAAGCTTCTGCTGCATGCATGAGAGGAAAAAACCTTCACATCCCGCTCTAGGATGTTTAGGGTAAATTAAATCAAAAACATTTGGCTATATTAAAAGCATGTTTATCATTTATATCTTAACTAGGAGATTCACCAGAATACCTTTAAAAAGAATGAATCAATACCTTTTTTTAAATGTAAAAATATGTAAGTAAAACTGAAAAGTATTATGTTTTGCCCAGACTCATCAAAGAAACACTTTAATTCCTCCATTGTATACAGTATATTCAAATATCTTTACTCCAAAACACACACACATACACACACACACACACACACACACACACACACACACACACACACACACACAGAGTCTTTACTGTACCTCATCATGTATCCTCATAGAGTTGATGCGCTCCAGCTTCTTAGTCCAGTACTGGGCCTCGTCGTCAGGTATATCTACACAAGCACACCAATATTAGTGAATGGGTATGTACTGTAAGTCTGACATCTTCATATAAAACTCCAGCTTTCACTGTTCCAATGTATTTCTCGCTCCTCCCATCCAGTTTCTGCGGCCACACAGCACTCAATTCTGTATTCACAGTGTTTAATATGGCATGAGACAGAGAGGTTACTGCAGGAACATCACAAATACATCAGCACCCTTGCTTCCTCTCCATTTGTCCATGTACTCCGTTTACATATCGCCAATTCTCCTAGATTCATTTAATCTTTTTAAGGATTTAGTGACCCTAAAACAAACTTGGACCAATTAAAAATGTACAAATTCACTTTTAAAGCCAATTATGAAGGCAAAGTATCTGCTTAGTGCCTGTATAATATAATATAATATAATATAATATAATATAATATAATATAATATAATATAATATAATATAATATAATGTAATGTAATGTAATGTAATGTAATGTAATGTAATGTAATATAATATAATATAATATTACCAAAAGGGAGCTCAAAGCGTGTGTCTAGCAGCACTTGGTGAGGAGTAGGGTTTTTAGTGCCGTATATTTCATCTTCCTTCATCAGGACCTCAGAATCCAGTAAGGTCCACTCTCCAGGCCCTTCCTAGACAGAGAGAGATAAAGAACTGTTAGATGTCATGCCAACTCTGAAATTCAATGCTTCAAAAAAATTTCTAAAAAGGAGAGACAGCAGCTTGATAAAACTTAAATGGATTGGAGAGGGAAAGCTTAGAGGGTTGAAGTCAGAAAGCATTTATTCTCACCAGTGGTACGTTGACTGCGTTTTTTAAAATTGTATTTATATATTCAAGAGAGCTACACTAATTCAACTGCATTTGGATGTTGTGGGAAAAGGCCAATGTCAAGTCACATCACCTCTATTTATATCACTTTAAATAATACAGATTTCAAAGTAGCTTCATTGCAATAAAAAAATTAAAGGGGTGACTTAATATACTATAGATAAAATTACTGTAAATGTGACAATCAATAATTGAATAAATGAATGAATGTGGCCCCTGTGCTCTCTATAAACTCACAAGAAACAAAATTTATTAAACATCTTTTTATTTATTTACTGAATCTTCAGGTGAACAGGACCACAGGAACAACCAACACGAATCAACATAATGCCAATAATTATGACGACTAAGACCGGACAAATAACAACCCAAAGACTATAAATACACTAAACATGTTTAATTAACAACAAACAGGGGTGTGAACAGGTAAAACTACTGAATAGTAAAATAAATGGCGGGAAAAGAGAACAAAGGATTCACATTACTAAACTCAAGCACTTGAAACACTTGACAGGGGAAAACACAGAATGACTCAATGAAATGAATGGATTTTATGTAGTTCGTTAAGAACAATTAATACCATATACAACTAATCACACACATTTTTTGTTGAGGTTATGAACACAGTAACCAATCAGAGGTTTATGCAACACTGAACACTCTTCTGTTGAAGTTCTGTTAAAATAGCTTAATATATATGTCTCACTGTAAATCCCAACTAAGCAAGCCAAGGGTGACACAGGCAGGAAATCTGAATAAAGGGGTTAGTTTACCCAAAATTTTAAGTTCTGCTATTAATTACTCACCCTCATTTTATTTCAATCCTCTGAGTAAAAAAATAGGTAACACTTTATTTTGATGGTCCATTTAAGTATTAGTAGACTGTCTGCTTAATATCTACTGATACTGCACCTTCAACAGACATTTAACTGACAATAAGAAACTTTGCAAGTACATGTCAACTCACACTAACACTAACCCCAACCTAACAGTCTACTGATAATCTAATGAAAATTAGTTGCATGTAGATGCAGTGTAGCTTAAATTCAACAAACGAACCATCAAAATAAAGTGTGACCAATAATTAATTCAGAACACATGTTAAGATATTTTAGATACAATATGATAGCTCTCTGTCCTTCTATTGACAGAAATGGGCCCAATATGTTCAAGGTCCAGAAAACGAATCAGAACTATTCCAAGTGACTTCAGTTGTTCAACGATTTTGAGTGCCAAAAAACTGTATATAAAGAAAATCTGTTAGCTAATGGCTTTTTGACCATTTTGCACATTTACAATGGTTTACATGTTGCTCTGCTGACTCGTTGCAATATGTCTTACTGCCCATTTTAAAGCAGTACCATTACCTGATGTGCATGAGAAGACAAAAGGGTAACAAAAATGTTTTAACTGTTTTTATTTTTTATTTTTTTGGAAGACAAAAGTGTTCTTGGAGCTTCGTATAATTACTGTTGAACCACTGAAATCACATGAAATGTTTTATAATATGTTACAATACAATATTTTGATTATTTTTCTGAACTTTGAAGATAAATGCATGTTTCAGAGAACTGGAACGGTGTGAGAGTAATTAATAACTAAATGTTTATTTTTGGGTGAAGTAACCATTTAAATAAAAGAAGAAAAAAAGCTCATTCATGGGGCTAGTTCTACTCTGGTCAAGTGAACAAACATCCCTGCAGGCACAGGACGTCAACATGATGTCATATTGAAGTTGTACCCAAACATACCCCAACATAGTAGGGACGTTGGATTTTGTTTGGAGATGAAAATCGAGTTGACGTCAGAACCCAACATCAGGCTGATGTCGATGTCCAACGCCCAACATAAAATCAACCGAATATCAACATCTGACCACGCTACCATTATGACATGTATCAGACGTTGGATTTTGGTCACTTTCCAAAACAACCTAAAATCAACCAAATATGAACATAACTTCACGTCGTTATTGGACGTCAAAATAACTTTGTCCTTAGACACTGGCTAGACAATGAATTTTGGTCATCTGACGTCATGACCTAAATCTAACCTAATATTAATTTCTTATAATGTTGTGTGCCTGCTGAGATGGTGAAATTTATGATTCCAGGTAGTTTCACAAATCTGTGGATTGATTTTATTCCAAAATTGTACATTCATCTCACATTTTACTTCTGCACAGTTTTAATAAATCACATCAGTAATAGATGGAAATAGAGCTGCTAAGTTATTTTAATGTTATTAATTAAACAAGCAAAAGCTGTAAGCCTGTAAGCTGTAAGTAATAACACTCCTCAATAAGCTGGATAACCTGAAGTAAAACACTTATATACTTATAAGTATAACTTGAAGTATGACACTTGAGTTTAGGAGTTTAGAAACAGAAGTGAACCCCATAACAGCAAGTACCATTCACTTTATTTATAAACACTGCAATATTTAACTGGCTGCCTCTTTATTTAATCAGACCATTAATAATACAATTTGCACTACTGGCTGACACCCCTGGGGTTTTAGCAGAACTGTCCAGCTGGAAGCAGTTCAGGCGAAGTTTTCAACATTCTCACCATTTGCAATGCCTTCCCCACCCACCTCAGCTCCAGCCATGACTCAGATGCTCTCGTCTCATGCGAAACAGGGTGGGAGTGGCACTTTCATGCCTCACCAGACAGACAGCTGAGCTGAGATTCATGACTCTACAATCTGATTGGCTGGTGGTGCCCACTTACCTCATCTGATTGGTGGATGGTGTTAAGTGGGATCCATGCTGTTCCTATCAAGGTGTCCCAGATGAGACCTTTATTCCACACCTCCACAACCAGACCCAGATCCAGACGATTAATTTCACTTGGACCACAGACAGAGACACAAAAATAGAGATCAGACCATCAATAAACATGCATGGATTCTCAAATCTCTAAGATTTTCCGCCCACACTTATCTGTGAGTTCAAGACACTTCATAAGCGTCCTTTATGAGAAGAAATTAAAAATAGGTCTGTGAATGGTGGGTGAATTGAGAAAATGTACTGGGAATATACATATTGAACACAGCATAGAAATTATTCTTCGGCCTATTCCCCGCAGTGGAGTGAACCACCAATTACTCTGTCATATGTTTTATGCGGTGGAAACCTTTCCAGTTGCAACCCAGCACTGGGAAACACAGATACACTTTCTCATTCACACACATGCACTACAGCAAATTTCAGCAATTCAACTATACTGCATGTCTTTGGGCTGTGGGGGAAACCCACTCAAACTTGAGAAAAACATGCAAACTCCACACAGAGTTTGGAGAAGGGTAGGAGAAGCTGCATGAATCTTTTAAACACGTGATGGCATTTGAAGGCATGAGACGCGAAGCATAGATGCTCTTGACTATTCTGGAGGTCATTAATAATATAATAACACTAATACTTAAATGGTTAAGGCGTTTTAGAATGACTAAAACAACATTTTCAATGTTTTACAATGTGCTCAGCCTGCTAGTTTGTCCATTCACATAATTTTATCGTCACATTATCTCTTATAACAAAATTACATGACCCTTTTTAATTGCATGCTGGAATTTGATCGGTAAAAGTGTTTCCATCGTAGTTTATGCGCATCTTTTCGTATTGAATAAAAGGTTTATCCTAGTCAATTATGCACATACCTTTTTTTATGCTCATTTTCAAAATTGATGCGCATATTGCTGTTTCCATCAACTGATTTTTTATGCGCAAATCCAAAATGTCCAATTTGATTAACCTTAGGGAGACACGGTGGCGCAGTAGGTAGTGCAATCGCCTCACAGAAAGAAGGTAGCTGGTTTGAGCCACGGCTGGGTCACTTGGCATTTCTGTGTGGAAATTCCAGGTGCTCCGGTTTCCCCAACAAGTCCAAAGACACGCGGTGCAGGTGAATTGGGTAGGCAAAATTTTCAGTAGTGTGTGTGAATAAGAGTGTATGGGTGTTTCCCAGTGATGGGTTGCAGCTGGAAGGGTATCTGCTGCGTAAAACATTTGCTGGATAAGTTGGTGGTTTATTCCGCTGTGTTGACCCCTTATTAATAAAGGGACTAAGCCAAAAAGAAAATGAATGGATGAATGATTAACACTGTAATTCCAAAGTTGAATGAATTTGAAAAATAGAGTACACGTCGCAAAGCCCACTGTCACATGGTCTACAGTTCCAGACAGCCCTACTATTTACTGTCATTACATTAAAAAGGACATTTCAGGACATTTAAAAAAATTACAAAAACTTCTTACAACTTAAAAACAACATGATGAGTAAATTTAAATTTTAAGTTTAACAAATTAACTCTACATTGTTCCTAAATTCCACTGTATTTGCTTAAAAAAAGCCCTGCATTTCTACCTGGCATTAAAATACATATATAAAATGTATAAAACATAAAAAAGCAACAATATTTCATATTTTCAGATGTTAGAGGCAACAACAGCAAGGAACAAAAACTCTCCAACTGAATCATATGGAGCAAAAAAAACTTGTAAGAAACCAGGGCCAGTCAGGGGACCAGTTCTCCTCTGACCAAATGGAAAAGAGGCAGGGCTGCAGTCTGAAAGATGTTGGTGGCATTGAGAAGATTGCATTCATAAACATGAGTATTTTAAAAAGTAAACCAATCAAATGCGTTTTCCAATACCTCTGTGTGTGATCAAAAAGCAGACAAAATTAAAAGATTGTAAACTCTTTTTACACTTGTAGCATCCTAGTGATCAGATGGATGAAAACATCTTAATACCAGGTGCAAACTGGTCCATAAAGTGTCCATTTTTGACAATACTTTAAGGATAAAAGTTTTATCTTTTCGGTTTTAATCAGAACAGCTCCTTATATTCACAAACATAATGTCAAGCTATTGAAAACTGCAGAGATTCCAAGAACCCAGACTAATTCTTCACAATCATATGCAATATAAAAACACAGTAATTATATTAAGAGGCGGGAGAAGAGGAGGGGGAATTAATAATAGGTCTCTCTGAACACTACGATCAGAACATCAAGTCTGTCAGACGTCCTGCTACCTCTATATATCTTACTTTTACTGTAAAATTCAGATTTGTCTTCCTTTTTGTAGTGATTCAGTCTTCAATAAGCTTCAACCTGGCAGCAAGCCATTAATTTTACCGTTCTATCAAACTCTCAATTTAGCAAACAAATGTAATTATTGAAATAAATTTAAATGATTAGTTCACCAGAAAAGGTCTGTTATTAATTACTTACAGTTGTGTCATTCCAATTCCCTAACACCTTTGTTCATCTTCAGAACACAAATTAAGATATTTTAGATGAAATCCAAGAGCTCTATCTCCTCCTCTATAAACAGTAAGGCTGCATGGTATTGGAAAAAAACTGACATCGAGATATTTTACTTTCTGCAATAAATATTGCAATATTGTAGAATAAATTCTACAAACAAAATGAACAGCTCTATTAGGAAAGAATTTATATAATTTGACATTGATTAGAATGATTTTGTAGAGTGTATAAATATAGTAAAAAAATTAAAATTATTGATGAAAACAGTAAAGCAAAAATATGAATAAAAAAACAACAGCATTTTTTTATGGGCGTCTATTAGTATTTAGGTACACAAATTAATCAAATGTAAAATAACAGTGTCGTTTTTATGTGTGTATTTATACAGTTGAAGTCAGAATTATTAGCCTACCTTTGATTTTTTTTCTTTTTTAAATGATGTTTAACAGAGCAAGGAAATTTTCATGTATGTATGTCATGTATGTCTGATAATATTTTTCCTTCTGGAGAAAGTCTTCTTTGTTTTATTCCGGCAAGAATAAAAGCAGTTTTTAATTTTTAAAAATCTATTTTAAGGTCAAAATTATTAGCCTCTTTTGGATATATTTTTTTCAATAGTCTAACAAACCCTTATTAAAAAATAACTTGCCTAATTACCCTAACCTGCCTAGTTAACCTAATTAACCTAACTAACTTGAAGTGTCTTAAAAAATATGTAGTAAAATATTATTTACTGTCATCATGGAAAAGATAAAATAAATCAGTTATTAAAAATGAATTATTAAAACTATTATGTTTAGAAATGTGTTGAAAAAATCTCTCTCCTTTAAATAGAAATTTGGGGGGGGGGGGAAATAAACAGGGTGGCTTATAATTCAGGAGGGCTAATAATTCTAACTTCAACTGTCTATACTTAAAGAGCCCCTATAATGGGTTTTTGAAAATGACCTTCCATGCAGTGTCTAACACAGCACTAAGTGAATGAAAACATTAAGCTGAGGTTTTAACCTGAAAGTGCACTGTGATTAAAACTATTGATTCTTTAATGAAATAGTCAACTCAGAGTCAGGTAAATGAATCGAGTTGGGATCGGATCTTTTGATTAAACGTTTCGACGTCGATATTGTACATCACCAAATATGTAGTCCCGGATCCGGTCAAATGTGAATGTACTTTCCCTTTAGACTCGGACCAGTTTCTTTTTCCTTCGGATCATAACATGTAAGTGTAACTAAAATTGTTGCCTCGTTTTGTGTAGTTTGCAAAATATTTGTTTAATTGTGTATTACAATGGCTTTGCTCCATGTGGCTTGTAATCCCTTATATATTAAAGATCAATGCTTGTACTTGTACTAGTGGCTATTCAAATATTGCATCCAAAACTACAAGCAGCGTGTATTTCTTGCTTTACTGATTTAAATGCATTTCTGATTCTCGACCCACTGCTGTTTGTTGCTATGACCACCATCAGCTGTTCTTCACACGGGGCGCGGTTAATTTTCAAAATTGTTTAACTTTTGCCACTGTGTGGATTAAAACTGAATGTGTGTCGTTGTTATTACTTGGGGTTAACGAGTAGAGTAATCTGCTGGTGTTTAACTGCATTTCTTTATTGCAATCCTGCATTTGGCTCTCATAGTTTCTGCTACTTCATAGCCGTGGTTGGCATTTCTCTCTTACACGCTGAACACAGTCAACCAATCACTACAGACTGGGTCGTTGGTCCAATCAGCACAGACTAGCTTCACTCTAACAAGGGGTTTAGGAACAAATAAATCATTGAATGAATCGTATGGTAGTCGTTGAGGTAATTATAGGCAAAAAATAAATGCACATTATAAGACAATGAAAGTGTTTTTGACCTTGAATGTATATCAGTCTGTTGTTGGAAACCCCCAAAACTAAATTATGACCTTTTATAATGCAAAATAGGGGCTATTTAAATACAATTAATCTTTCTTGAAGTTAAAAACATTATAATCTTGTGCATAAATGCTTTAAATGCTTACACAATCAGAGGCCTTAAAAGACACATACAATAAACCATGGTTCCTGGTCAACTATAATCTCACCTCAACATTGCAGATCCTGCTGTGTGACTAATGCAGATGCGCACATTGCGATATTAATGTTGAAACAATAAATTGTGCAGCCCTAAGAGACATTCAAAGTCCACGAAAGCAACCAAAAACATTGTCAAAACATTTCATCAACCACTTTAACACTTTGTGCGACTGTAAAAACAACCTTGTACTGTACATCAATGTATTCTCTTCCTCGTCGGGTCATAAGGGTGCATGTTTATAACAGGGAATACAGCATACTGCCATTAGAGTCAGCAGTGCAACACACAGGTGTTGTATTGTCTGTAGTAAATGCGTACTGGCATCTGACGAGGCTGAAGAGAGGACATAGGCAAAGTCATTTTTTTTTTTTTTTTTCTGTTTCGGAGCTTTATATAATAACAGTTGAACCACTGAAATCGCATGGAATGTTTTGACAATGTTTTTGACAATGTTCGCTTTATAAAGAGCTTTTAGATTTCATCTAAAATATCTGAATTTGTGCTATGTTTCA